ACATTTTATATTGTTCTTGTTGTGTTGTATACTGTACAGTTGGAGCTAAGCCATACCTGATTCTCCAGTGGGTTTTCAGAGGCAGTTAATCACATGTGAGGAGATTGCCCATCCTTCTCCCACAGAGCAGCCTGTGGCTTCAAACTACGTGCCTTTGGGATTGCAGTACAGCTTTTTGCCACTAGGCCCCCAGAGCTTTCATATTAACACTTGATATAAGTGTTTTTCATTTTACTTAAAGTCTATGTTTCAGAGTCCTTTTACTTCTCAGGGCAGACATTGCCTTCTGACAATGAGCGGAGTCAGTTGAGGCTGTGTAGAGACCAAATGACTACTTAAAGCTAGAAAAGTCTGCAAGAGTCGGTAATTTGGTCTCATGTGGACCTCTGTGGCCACTTCCTACCTAATTGTTGAGTGTTTATTTGGGCCAGACACCCTTGGAGAGGGTCTTGTTTGCATTGGTTCAAGCAATAGTACCTTTGAGCTATGGTGCTGGAGAAGAGTATTGAATGTATCATGGACTGCCAAGAAAACAAACAGATTCATCCTGGAGAGGATTAAACCAAGCTACTCCTTGGAGGCAAGGATTCTGGGGCTTCGTCTGTCATACTTTGGGCATGTTGCAAGGAGGGACAGATCCTTGGAGAGGGACATCATGCTTGGGAGGGTAGAGGGTCGGTGCAAGATGGGGAGACCCTCTATAAGATAGATTGATTCAGTGACTGTGGTAATCGGGATGGGTGTGTCAGAGGCAGTGCGATTGGCACAGGATAGAGCAGGGTTTAGGGCTTTGTACATAGGGTCACTATGAGTCGCAAACAACTCGATGGCACATAACTACACCAACAGCATCAACTACACAGGGAGCCTCATTTTACTAATAAGGACTTGAGATAGCATTTAATCAACTTACAGGCACACACATGCACACTCAAAGGCAATATAATTGTTGATGATGTTGTTGTTGTGAAGTCGAATACGACTCATAGCAATCCTATGACTAGTCAACCTCATTACTGCCCTATCGTGTGCCGTCCTCATAATCTGTAAGCCACAGAGCCTACTGCTGAAGTCATAGTATCTATCCATCTTGTTGGGGGGGGGGGTGGTCTTCCTCTCCTTCGCTGGCCTTCTATCTTTCTAAGCCTGATGTCCTTTTCCAAGGAATAGCCTCTCCTAGTCTAAAGTATGAGTTGAGGCTCAATGTCAAGAAAACAAAGAATCTTCTCACCACTGGGCCAATTGGCAGTATCATGATGGGTGGTGAAGAGACTGAGATTGTTCACAGTTTTGGTTTGCTTGGCTCCACAGTTGACACTCTTAGCACTAGCAGCCAGGAAATTAAAACACCTATTGCAATGGGAAAGTCTGCTGTTAAGGACCTCTCTAAGGTACTGAAGTGCAATGATGTCAGTCCGGAGACTAAGGTGTGCCTGATACACGCCAGGGTCTTTGCAATCACTTGATATGCAACAGAGAGCTGGATGATGACTAGGGATGATAGAAGGAGAATTGATGCCTTTGAGCTGAGGTGCTGGAGAAGAGTATTGAATACCATGGACTGCTAGGAGAACAAACAAGTTCATCCTGGAGAGGGTGAAGCCAGAATGCTCCTTGGAGGCAAGGATTCTGAAGCTCGGTCTGACATACTCTGGACATGTTGAAGGGAGGGACTAGTCCTTGGAGAGGGTCGCCATATTTGGGAGGGTGGAGGGACAGCGCATGAGAGGAAGCCCCTCGATGAGATGGATTGATTCAGTGATTGGGGTAATGTGGGTAGGTGTGTGGGAGATGGAGAGAGTGGCACAGGATAGGACAGTTTAGGGCTGTTGTACACAGGGTCGCTATGAGTTGCAGGAGACTTGATGGCACATAACAACAGCAACAGTCCAAAGTATGAAAGAGGAAACTTTGTCATCCTTGCCTCCGAAGAGCACTCTGGCCGCATCTTACAGCAAGATCCAATTTAATGATTACAATTCTCAATGACCTTACTTGAGTTCCTTGTTAGATGCCATTAGAAATAGAAGTCTGGTGGAAAGACCTCTAAGACAGCAGTCAGAGGACACAGGCTCCTGTCGCAATTTTACCACAGCCTAGGCAATCCTTTCGTGGCTCAGAAGCTTCACCACAAGGAGCAGGCCTCAAACTCAGCAGTACTTTCCCTGATCTGTACACAAAGGCAGCCCTTCAAGGAGATGAAATGTCCTTGAGAGAAGTGATGGATAAGAGACAACTGGGAAGCTCATTAGAATAGGAGCACTCTCGTGTCTGCCCCAGGCCCTGCCTTCATTACTGGGAGAAGCGCTTTTATAAACCTTGTCCCCAGGAGCCCGGCCTCTCCAGGAGTGCTCACTGGCCTCTTTATCTTGGCTTGTAAACCAGAGTCAAAGGCAGAGGCCTGGCAAAGGACCATTACTCACTTTTAATGAGACAAACCAGGGAAATAAATTGGCATATGCTGGCGCAATGGCTCATCAAGGTGAGTAATTATCTCCATGATGGGGCCAGTTTACTCTCCAGTGAAGGCGTTCGCATCCCAACTCTCCTCGGACTGTGACGCTCAGGAGGAAAAGCAGGAGGTCAAGGAGAACGTGGCTCCTCATCCCAGATCGCTTCACTAACCTCGTCCTGTTATTCATGCAGAATGGGCCACCCCATGAATCTGCAAGCTTCTTGCAAAGATAGAGCTCAAAGACTTGATGGCGGGGAACAGAAATCTTGAGGAGGAACAGACAAGGCTTTCTGTTTTGTGGAGTATCATGTGCACATGTGCATGTGTGTATGTGTGTGTGCATATCCTTGAGGTGGGGGCAAGTGAGCACAGGGCCTGAGGGAGTTCCCAGGAAGTAGATTTATCTGTTCTCACTAAATGAAACCACTTTCTTGTTGTTGTTGTTGTTGTTGTTGTCATTATTATGTGCTGTTGAGTCACCTGAGACTCACAGTGACCCTCTGTACAACAGCTCTGAACCTGCTCTATCCTGAGCCAACCTTATTGTTTCTGATATACCTACCTCCATTATTCCAGTCACTGAATCAATCCATCTCATTGAGGGTCTTCCTCTCTTGCGCTGTCCCTCCACCCTTCTAAGCATGATGTCCCTCTCCAAGAACTGGTCCCCTCCTTGTAACATGCTCAAAGTATGTCAGGTGGAGCTTCAAAATCCTTGCCTTCAAGGAACCTGTTTGTATATGGTGTATTCAATACTCTTCTCCAGCACCACAACTCAAAGACATAGATTCTTCTATCACCCTTAGTCACTGTCCAGCATTCTGATGTATAGCAAGTAGTTAAGACCATGGCCTAGATCAGGTGCACCTTAGTCTCTATACTGACATCGTCACTCTTTTACTCTCTTAGTCCTAAACAAAACTGACTTAAGTCCAGTAGTTCTGTCTTGACTTTCCTGCCCAATGATCTTGCATCCTGCACTGTTAGAATCTAGCAGTGTCTGGTGGGCACTTAATGGTCATTTCCATTTGTTTTGGTATCTTATTAGGAAATAACCTCCTCTTTCCTGTTTTCTGAAAACAAGTTCCGCCTCTCAAAGTAGAGAAACTGGTTGAGGTCAGGAATTATGGTGTGCGCTGAGTTTCCCTCATCTGTACACAGGTGTCTGGATACAGAGAGGCATGTCTCAAAGTGCTGGGTTTCTCCGGAGGGTTTGCCTGCAGGCCACTGACAGGTTTTCCTTTAGGCAGTGGCCTCCAGGAGGCTTTGAGTTAATTTGCTGCCTATTTTTCATAAAATACTTTGCACACTAACTGTAACCTTAATGCAAGCTGACTTTGTACTAGTGAGTGTTTTTCGCGAGATGATTAGCTTCATGCAGTCATGGGCCATTTCAAGTCTCATTCTGTCTCCTTTCCTAGGGCCTTGCTCTTAATCTGCAACTGCAGAGTGGATGGATTTTAAGGTTTGCAACTTTTGCATCATGGTACAGGATTTAAACCCTATTGGGAAGAAATCAGGGATAATATACAGGTACCCACACATTCACACAAATCAATAATATACTCGGTAAATAATTATCACTGGAGTTGAATCAAGGTATTGCAAATTGCACTCAAACAAGGCTGACTTGATTGAGTCTGGCTGTGCTATTTGCACTACAATGAGATATTTAATTAATGGGGGACTTTATAAACTTGGTCTCTAGCAACATACTTTGGGCATGTTGCTAGGAGGGGTTGTTCCTTGGAGAGGGACATCATGCTTGGAAAGGTGGAGGGTCGGTGAAATAAAGGAAGACCCTCGATGAGATGGATTGACACAGTGACTGTCGCAGTGGGTTCAAATGTGTCAGAAAGGATGATGGTGACATAGAATAGGACAAGATTCAGATCTGTTGGTCATAGGGTCACTGTGAGTTATACTCAGCACAATGGCATCCAACATATAACAACAACAGAACCATCCAAATGAGTGGAATGCAATTGCTTTCAATTCAGCTCAGCCTGTGATTGGGATATAGTAGGAAAGGGCATTTTCATTTGGGCTCAAGAGATTTATTGGCAAGAGTTTTAAAGTTTCCTAAGTGAATCTACACTTCAGCAAGGGTTTCAAAAATTCTCACCATCTCTGTTAGCACATCTTTGGCTTAGAGAGGAAGGCAGCTTGTTGTGGTAGGGGTCATGTTACAAATAGATCGATAGGCAAGATGTGGGTGAGTTGGTGGCATGGTTTGCATCTGGATGGCAACAGGAAAATTCTACCAGAAAACCAACCCACTTTCACATCCACATGTTCGGGTGACTGTGGTTTCTGCAGACCACACTGGGTGGGTAACTTTCTGAAGTTTCTAGGATGTCTCAGCCTTGGCTACACTGCTGCTAACGTGAGTCCATTCCCTGGAGTCAGACGCCAGAGCACAAGTCCAGGTTGACCAGGGATGCCTAACCCTCCAAGAACACCCAGGACTTCCGCTTGGCCTTCAGAGTAGCAGCGGCGGATTTGTCCCCCTGTCCCACTGTGGGGGTCCTCTCCGGGCACTCACCGTTCCTGTCGATGGCAAAGGGCACATCAGTTGTGACGATTTCGTAGTTGCAGATCTGGCTGTACTGGGGGGAGCAGTCCTCGTCGATGGCCTCCACCTGCAGGATACTGTCATAGATCTTGTCCTCGGTGACGATGGTCTTGTAGGCCGGTTCTTTGAAGGTGGGAGCAAACTCATTGACATCCTTGACCTGGATGTGGACCACCGCCCTGAGAGTACACAGTAAAAGAAAGATAGCAATGGGGGTGGGGGAGGGGCAATCTCACCTCCCTCCCACAACAGCCAGGTCCTCAGGCCAAGTAAATGCAGACACCGCCAGCCAGTTTGAGAGGAGATATTCAAGGGGTGCATCCCTCCTTCTCATTAAAGATCTCTCTGTGCTCTTCTGGTTCCTCTGACACAAATCCATGCCAGGGAGATTCTCCCCTATTACCTAGTTTTAGACAGCACATTTCCTTCTGACTTTTGCTTTATTCATTCCTCTCCTTATTCATGCACTCTTCATTCAATATTAACTTCATTCCTCTTAATACATTCTGTACTCTGAGCCAGACTCCACAAAGGAGAGACCAGTAATGGCTCCAAAAGAAACAGCTGTGATTAGGAGAAGCACACAGCACTGGAGAAACTCAAGAGAGCGGACCCCGCGAGGTCTGCAGGGGTGGGTCAGTGCAGGGAGGGCTTCCTGGAAGAGGTGACTACAGAACTACATCCCCAAGGTGGAATTATTAGTATCTTTGGCTGCTTACTTAAAGGTTGAGGGGTTGGAATTCACCGAGAGATGCTTCAAAAGGAAGTCTTGGTGAAACTACTGAAAATCAGCCATTGGAAATGCTCAGGAGCGAGGTCCTCCACTGACGCACGTGGAGTTAGTTGCCAAAAGGCACGTTAACTGGCTGATTCAGGTGCAAAAGAAGACAAAGCAGAGCCTCCAGGCTTAGCAAATAATCTGGACATAGGTCTACTGGAGCCTGGAGCATTGTGGTGTGGCCAAAGGGAAGGGTCTCTGAAGGGATACGAGGTGGGCAAAGGGGAGCAGAGCAGAGGAGCCCCGGGAGCTGACACAGGTCACTCACTTGTGTGACTTCTTCCAGGCTGTCTCCCGGGGCCCAGAGCCACAGTCGTAGGCCTGGATGATGAACGTGTACTCCTTCTGGAGCTCGCAGTCGATGGGGCTCTTGGCCCAGAGCCGGCCCTCCCCAGACGTCTTGTTGAGCACCACAGCCTCGAAGGGCAGCTCCTGGCCGAGGATCTTGAACGCACAGATTTCCCCTGCAGAAGAATGGGAGACCCGAGTGAGTTGAAATCCTGACGATTTTTCAAATGGAAAAAACACTGCCCTTGAAAAAAGATGAGCAAATAAAACAATTGCCAAGTGATTCCTCCATGCATATAGACTTTCGGAACCATAGATGTGCTCACCAAGTTGTGCCAAGAAATCTGGAGGACAACCACCTGGCCAACTGACTGGAAAAGATCTATATTTGTCCCCATTCCAAAGAAGCTGATACAACAGAGTGCAGAAATAATCGAACAATGTCATTGATATCACATGCAAGCACAATTCTGCTGAAGATTATAAAAAAATGACTCGAACAGCACATCAACAGAGAACTACCAGAAGTGCAGGCTGGGTTTAGACAGGGCTGTGGTACTGGGATATTGTAACTAATGTTAGATGGATTTTGGCTGAAAGCAGGGAATACCAGAGGAACGTCAATCTATGTTTCATTGATTATGCAAAGGCATTTGACTGTGTGGATCATAACAAACTGGCTGACTCTGAGAAGAATAGGAATCCCAGAACATTAGATCGTGTTAATGCGAAACCTATACTTGGACCAGGATGTAGTTGTCAGAACGGAGCAAGGAAACACTGCATGTTTCAAAATTGGGAAGGGTTTATGCCAGGGATATGTCCTATCTTCAGACCTTTTCAACCTCTATGCAGAACAGATTATCTGGGCTGCATGAGAAGTGCGGCATCAGGATTGGTGGAAGATTCATCAACAATCTGCATTATGTAAATGACACAACCCTGCGTGCTGAAACTGAGGAGGACCTGAAGCACTTGCTGCAGCAGGTCAAGGGCTGCAGCCTTCAATATGTATTGAAGTTCAATATCAAGAAGACAAAGATTCTCACCACTAGACCAATTGTTAGCATCGGGATGGATGGTGAAGAGATTGAGATTGTTCAAAGCTTTAGTTTGCTTGGCTCCACAGTCAACAATCTTCGCACCAGCAGCCAGGAAATTAAAAGATATATCACAATGGGAAACTCTGCTATTAGGGACCTCTCCAAAGTACTGAAGAGCAATGGTGTCACTCTGGAGACCAAGGTGCACCTGATACAGGTCATGGTCTTTGCAATCACTTGCTATGTATCAGAGAGTTGGACAATGACTAGGGAGGCTAGAAGGAGAATTGATGTCTTTGAGCTGTGGTGCTGGAGAAGAGTATTGAATGTACCATGAACTGCTAAGAAAATAAAGAGGTTCATCCTGGAGAGGGTTAAACCAGGCTGTTTCTTGGAGGCAAAGATTCTGAAGCTTCGTCTGACATACTCTGGACATGTTGCAAGGAGGGATCAGTCCTTGGAGAGGGACGTCATGCTTGGTAGGGTGGAGGGACAGAGCAGGAGAGGAAGACCCTTGATGAAGTGTATTGATTCACTGACTGGGTTAATGAGGGTAGGTGTGTCGGAGATGGTGAGATTGGCACAGGACAGAGCAGGGTTTAGGGCTGTTGTACATAGGGTCGCTATGAGTCGCAGGCGACTCTACGGCACATAACAACAACAAACAACAACAGCATGTCGTCCTCAGAGATAGAGCTAAACACATGCATCCATGTGATGGGTGATCAAGTTGATATGCTCCATTTAGGGGACTGTCACCCATCAGGTGCTTCCTAGCAGAAAAGCATTCTGTCACTGGGCTGACTTTCCCGCTGTATCTCACTTGTTCTCCGTCCATTCTGAGATCAAGGAACCCACACACAGTTAAAAGGCAGCTGTGGTGCCTGGGGTCTCATCAGGAATGCAGAGTCCCAATCTCCACCCTAGACCTCCTAACTCAGAATCTTCATGTTCATGTTCGCAGGATCCCTGGGTGATGTGTGTGCTCCTGAAAACTTAAAACAGTCATGTTCTTAACTCCCTTAGATGGTGTTGAAACACCCCACCTTGCCAGAGTCAAACTTCTTTCACACACACCCCTATCTCTCTTGATGCCCGCCTATCACTTCTCTGTGGCAAGGTGAGTGCCACTTAGCATTGCTATTTTCCCCCTTGAAAGACTGAGTGTCAGCTCACGTAAGGCCCAGGAAGCTAACTTCTTAAACAGCTGAACGTTAATGCATTTCTTTCTCTGGGTTAATGCCTATTATAATTCTCGAGATCAAACTTGTAAGACCTTTCATGCAATCAGCTAGTGTTTATTGAACCCTGTCTACAAAAAGGGCCCTGTGCGAAGTGCCTTGGAAAGTCCTGAACAATGAAGACCTGTGTGTTTCCTATCTTCGGGAGGTTTGCAAACCGCTTGGAGAGACAGCGTGGTGATATTTAGAAAGATCACGTGTTCAGAAAGATCGTGCTTAGTGAAATGGGATACGTAAGTGCTCACAAGACAGAGACATGCTACAATGAGTGAAGTGAGAGGCCCCTGGAGAATCAACGTAGGGAGGGCTGGTGATGGAATCCTTAGTGAGTTGCAAAGCCTACCCAAAGGTGGGGCCTCTCTGGCAGTTTTGAGTTCCCCAGGGAAAACTGGGTAGTCTCCTCCTGCGTGACTTACAACCTCTGAAAACTCGTTCGTCCTGTAATTATTTAAGTAGAGGAAAACAGAACACAGGGCTTAGAGCTGACAAGCTAACATTCATATTCCAGGTTTGTTGCTGTGTTGTTACATGCTGTCAAGTCACCTGCAACCAACCCATAGGGACTCTACGTACAGCAGCTCTCAAGCCTGTTCTGGAACAGTCTCATTAATTCCTACACACCCACTCTTATTGCCCCAATCCCTGTCTCAATCCATCTCATTTGGAGTCTTCCTCTCCTGAGCTGTCCCTCCTCCCTTCCAAGCTTGACGGTCTTCTCCAAGGACAAGTTTACCATTTATTAATCAGTCAGCTTTAGTAAAAAAAAAAATTATATTGTTTCTCAAGTTTGTCTTATACAAGAGGACCCAGGAACTTGAAGGGATGAGCATCTGTCATGATATCAAAAGTCTTTCCCAGCCCTGTTCTGACATCATCCCAGGTGCGCATCTGGCCCCGGGGTGAGGTAAGCCAAGCACCTATGGTGCACCATTTCAGGACTGACTCTAACACCGAGAAGAATGTGAATTCCAGGACACTCCATGGTGTCATGTGAAACCTATACCTAAACTGAGAAGCAGTTGTCAGAATAGCACAAGTAGACGCTGAATGGTGTAATGTTAAGAAAAGAATGCATCCGGCTAAGAAGAAGCAGGAAATAGATGTGTCCTTTCTCCATGTGTATTCAAATCTGTATGCTGAGCAAGTCATAAGAGAAATGCGATTATACGAAGAGCAAAGTGGCATCAGGTTGGAGGGAGAGTCACCAACAAGCTCTGTTATGTAGATGATACAATCTTGTTTGCCAAAAGTGAAAAAGGTTTGAAGCATTTCTTGCATAAAGTTAAAGACTACAGCCTGCAATATTAATTACATCTCAACATAAAGCAAGCAAAAAATTCTTACTATTGGACCAACATGATAGATGGAGAAACGATTGGCATTTTCAATGATTTCATCTTACTTGGCTCCACAGTTAATAGCCATTGTAGCATTGGTGATGTTAAATGCTATCGAGTTACTTGGGATTCGTAGTGACCCTATATATAACAGCTCTGAACCCTGCTCTATCCTGTGTCAACCTCATCATCTCTGACACACCTACCCCCATTAGGCCAGTAACCCTGAATCTATTGGTTTCTTCTATAATTGGGAAATGTCCTTCATCCTCTCTGTAAAATGCTTGTCTGTCAGATACTGTTCTAAAGTTGAGCGTTGAAATGAAGACAGACAAAGAAGAAGGATTGGCCATCACTTCCAAAATAACAGGCCTTTGAAAACCCTATGTACCCGTTGTAATAGCAGTCAAGAAATCAAAAGACATGCTGCACAGTGAAACTCTGTTTTAAGTCCTTCTCCAAAGTTCTAAAGAGCAAGGATGTCAGTTTGAAGTTTAAGGTGTGCCTGATTCAAGTCATAGTATTTTCAATTCTTCCTGTAGATCTGAAAGTTGGAAAATGAATAAAGGATGTCTGGGGAATTGATGCCCTTGAATTGCAGAGCTGGCAAAGAGTATTGAGTAGACTATCAGCTGCCAAAAGAATAAACAAGTCTGTCTTGAAAAGAAGTGATAAAACTCCTCAGAGGCAAAGAGAGTGAAGCTTCATCTCACTTACTTTGGGTTTATCTGTAGGAAGAACGATTCCTTGGGGAGAGACATCGTGTAGAGAAAGGTGGGGGAGAAAGAGAGGAAGACCCTCGATGTGATGCACTAACACAGTGATTGCCACGATGGGTGTGAGCATGCCAGGGATCGTGAGAAAGGTGCAGCACAGAGGAAGGTTCAGATCTGTAGTTCAGAGCATGAGTCGGAGCTGTAGTTCACTTCAAGGCACCTAGCAACATTCTCAGGGTGACACAGACACCTTACTGGCTTGACTTGGCCCTGGCAGGACCTTCTCAACTTTTCTGAAAGGCTGAAATATTGAGGACAGGAGATCACATTGGTATATGCACACCCGTGCTGTGCCAGGCACTGGGCTTCATACTTCTGCCCAGGTGATCCAAGGTGACTTTCATAACAAAACTATCAGGTGAATTATTTAATGTTGCTGTTGTTGTGGACTGTAGAGTCGGAGCTAACCTATAGTTAACCCTCTGGTGGGTTTTCAGAGGCAGTTAATCGCACCGGAGGAGATTGCCCATCCTTCTCCTGGAGAACAGCTGGTGGCATCGAACCATATGCCTTTGGGATTGCAGCGCAGCGTCTTGCCACTAGGCCACCAGAGCTCCCTAGATGTTTAATAGCAATGGGAATAATTAGAGAGATTTCTCATTTGCTCAAAGTCACCAGTGCTAAACCCAAACTCCAAATTAAATCCTCATCTGCTGATGTGATTCCACATTGTGCTGGTCCGGCCCCCGCCCAGGAATTAATACAACTGCCTCCAGGATTTCGGAGTCTGTTAATCTTTACAGAAGGAAATGGTCTCATCTTTCTCCCACAGAGCAGCT